CTGAATCTGCTACATAGACTCAGACTGCTGGCTTTGCTCTTGCTATTCTCTTAGCCTGAATTTGCTTCATCCTTTTCTCTGTCTATCTACGTCCTTCAATGCTCTTTCCGTGGTAATCCCCTCTGCCCCATTAGAATTAAGCATTCTTTTCCTTCTTTTCCTCGGAACTCTGTCCCATTTGCTTCATTCTGCCTTTTCTTAGGGTCACACATGGACAGGTCCTGACACACTAAATTATGTTGTTGTTGTTGTTAGGTGGCGTTGAGTCAGTTCTGACTCACAGTGACCCTATGTATAACAGAACAAAACACTGCCCGGTCCAGCGCCATCTTCACAATCATCACTATGCTTCAGCCCATCATTGCAGCCACTGTGTAATACATCTCAGTGAGGGTCTTCCTCTTTTTCGTTGACCCTCTACTTTACCAGGCATGATGTCCTTCTCCAGGGACTGATCTCTCCTGATAACATATCTGAAATATGTGAGATGAAGTCTCGTCATCCTCACTTTTAAGGAGCATTCTGGCTGTACTTCTTCCAAGACAGATTTGTCTGTTCTTCTGGCAGTCCATAGTATATTCAATATTCTTCACCAACACCATAATTCAAATGCGTCAATTCGTCTTTGATCTTCCTTATTCATTGTCCAGCTTTCACATGCATATGAGGTGACTGAAAATACCATGGCTTGGGTCAGGCGCATCTTAGTCCTTAAAGTGACATCTTTGCTTTTCAACACTTCAAAGAGATGTTTTGCAGCAGATTTACCCAATGCAATACATCGTTTGATTTCTTGACTTCTGCTTCCATGGGTTTTGATTGTGGATCCAAGTAAAATGAAATCCTTGACAACTTCAATCTTTTCTGTGTTTATCATGATGTTGCTTATTGGTCCAGTTGTGAAGATTTTTGTTTTCTTTATGTTGAGGTGTAATCCATACTGAAGGCTGTAGTCTGATTTTCATCAGTAAGTGCTTCCAGTCCTCTTTATTTTCAGCAAGCAGGCTGTGTCATCTGCATATTGCAGGTTGTTAGACAATGCAAAAGGCTTACTCATCCTTGTGGGACACCCTTGGCTGGGGTTTGGTAAATGCCAAACCAATGAATGTATGAACAAACAAATAAATGATTAATCAGAAATCTGGTTGCACATGGAGAGGAGACTGTGTTACAGAGGACCGTGAACTCCTAGCAAGAGGCTCTGGTCATGACTGACCAAAGAATGTGGTCCCTCCTGGACTCTGAGTTGAGTATCTGGGGGCTGGAGGATCTCAGATGTCGTGTAGTCCAGGCTGTGCCATATAAACCCTCTACCACACAGCAGACAGCAAGCCAGTGCCCTTTTGAAAGCACCTCCAGTGAGTGCAGGCCAAGCACATTGTGGCTGCAGCATGTTCCCAGAGTGCAATGGAAAGGAGGTGGGCTGTGGAGATTGACTGACCTGGGTTCAGATCCCAGCTCTGCTGTTTGCCAGCTGTGTGGCCTTCTGCAAGCCACTTAACCTCTCTAAGCCTTGATTACTTCCTCTGTAAAAGAGGTATACTCCTCCTCCCTCTCAAAGTTGTTATCAGGATTATAGGGAATATAGATAAATAGATATACCACTCCAGCTTATGAAAGGCAACCAATGAATGGTAGCTAATTATATTTTCATGACATATGATTAGTTTTGGGGGGAACTTTTCTGGAGAGTTCAAAGGAAGTTCTAAGTAATGGAATTTGGGTTTATACCTAACAGTCTGTCAAAATTACAGTGAGCTAATTATGGGACTCATTAACAAGGAGTCACATGAAGATGATGTACCAAAGTTGTTCAAGATCAGGGGTTACCAAGCTTTTCCCACAACGATGTACCCTATGGATAATGCCCACAAGTGAGACCCTTGCCAGCCCCCAGGGCCCACTGAAGAGATATAGAAGGCTATCAAGGCTGGCCTGGAGAGATGACCCAGAAACAATACTTAGGTACAGTGTATACTCCTCTCAGTCGTGATTCTGGAAGTAGGCAGGGGTAGGAAAATCCAGGTTTCTACCATCATATATTTGGAGCTGGGTTGTTTTTGGCTGGACTACTGGATGATCTAAGCCCAAGTGTTAGGAGCCTATCTAACAGGCAGGGCTTTGGGTCTAAAGGGTGGGAGGGAAGGAAGGAGGGCCAGAAGTCTCAGGCAGAGAATGGTGGCCAGCGCCCCAAATGTAACCCTGGCCAGCCCCAGGCTTGTGTAAAGAGCCAACAAGTTTCAGAAAGTCAGATCATGGTAATGGACTGAAACTAAGGAAGGAGAGGAGAGAATGAAAAGCAGCCTTGATGCTGGGGTGGGTGGGGTGCCATTAAAAGAAACAGGAGGATCTCAGCCCTCCTCCCCAAAATCTCTTCTTCCCATTTCTCCATCTCAGTGGGTGGCTCTGCCAACCACAGGCCAAAATCCTGGAGTCTCCCCAGATGCCTCCCTGACCCTCACCTCCCACAGCTCATCCATTTTCAAGTCCTGCCCATTCTCTCTATCCCTTCCGATCCAGTGCCTTCTCTGTCCCCACTGCCACTATCTTGGTTCAGGCCTCTGCTTGCCTCCCCTGGCTGACTGAACAGTCTCCTGACTGGCCTCCCACCTCCACTCTCCCCCTCTGTCCTCTATTCACACTGCCACCAAAATTCTGTTCCAGAAAACTAACCTGGCCACTCTCACCCTTGGCTTGAAATCATTTGGCAGCTCCTTGCTGCGATCCAGATCAACTCTTAACATGGCTAGCAAGACCTCATGATCTATCTTGTGCCCTTCCCCACCAAACTTGAACATAGCCACACCAAACTGCCTCCAAGTCCTTCCAGGGGCCAAGCCTCTCATGAGCTCCTGCGTGTACTACTCATTCTGCCTGGGCCTGCTCCTCTCTTCTGGCCAACTCTCAATCAGCCTCTCTGACTTCACTCCAGAAACCCCTCCTTGACTCCCAGGCTGGGATAGGGGTTCCTCCCCCATGCTCCCCACTCCCTCCTTCCTCGTGGCTCTCACCACATTGTCCTAGAGTTACCTCAAATCTCTCTGCCTACCTCACCTTGAGCTCAGGGCCCATTCTTACTCATTTTTGGTTCCACAGAGCTCTGCATCATGCCACACAGATCATAAGCATTCAGTAAATATTTTGTGAATTAATGAATGGGTGAAACCAAACAATGAGGGAATCCAGAAGAAGACAGTTTGGTAGAAAAGACTATTTAGTTCTAGATATGCTGAGTCTGAGTCACTGGTGGGAAATCTAGGTGGCGGTCCAGGCTGCACTGGAAGCGAGTCTGAAGCTTGAGGGAATGTCTTTTAGGAGATTGTGGTCTCTCCTCTCATATAAGCCAATTCCCCTAAAAAATTCCAGAGACCAGGAGGTCAAATGACCAGCAGCAAGTAGCTCAGTGTTACCAAACCAGCTTCATCAACTCAGAGAGACCTAGAGCTAGAAGGACATTCTAAGGTGTCTAGTCTAATTCTTTCATGTTACAAATGAGGAAACTAAGACTCAGAGAGGGGAGTGGTCGGCTCAACAGCTAGTCAGAGGTCGTGCTAAAATTAGAACTCTTGTGTCTCCATTGTAGTCTAGGCACTTTCCACTATCCTCTGTGGCCTCCTGCTCATGGCACTTGCCCCCTATACCACAGAGAGTTATTAGTGGTAGAAGGGGTGAGTGTCATTGGAAAAACTC